AGACCTCCCGGCATTCCCGCGGAGAGGAAAGCCGCTGGCTGCGCCTGCGCTGAAGGTGCCGCTTTCAGGAAACGTGTCCCGCGTGCCGCGCCGTCTGTTTCCAGGGCAACTAGGGCGCCTCTTAGCGTCGCGCGCGCCACCTGGGTGGTTCCCGGCGCCCCCGCCATGGCGGCCGCGGGCCCCAGCGTCTTCCTGCTTATGGTGAGCGGGCAGGTGGAGAGCGCCCAGGTGAGCGGCCGCGGACCCTGCGGGGCCCGCCCCCAAGCTCCCCCGAGGCCGCCCCGCAGCCTTAGGGCCGTGCGGCCCTGAAGAGGCTCGTCATCCTCGGTAGGCGGGGGAGGGACACCGGCCGTGGAGAAGCTCGGCGCGAGGCTGCTGGTCACCCTCCACCCCGTGTGCGGGTTCAACACCGAGAGATTGACCTGGCGCCGAGGTCACGAGAGATTGACCTGGCGCCGAGGTCACGCTCGGCCAGGCTGAGGCCCGGGCTCGGGTCGTGCGCGCGTTGTTAGGAGCCCATCGCGGGCTTAACCGGCGGAGCCTGGGCGGCCCGCACTTGGCCTGTCCTCTAGCGAAGGGTCCTGCGCCTGCGCCGCGCGCCGAGCTCTCAGGCCCGGGAGCTGGCGTTAGATGGAGAGGATTTGGTTCATCTGACCCAACGGTGGTAGTGCCCTGGAGTGGTCCAGGGAGGATGTGTCTGTCAGGCGCAAGGGGGCGCTACTCTCCACCCGCCTGCGGGCTTACACTATATATTACGTATTGTTTATATATACCACACACACACACACACCCACACACCCACACACCCACACACCCCCCCCTGCGCGATTACACTATATATTATGTACTGTTTATATATACCCCCCACACACACACCCTCCACCCTCCTGGGCGCTTACACTATATATTATGTATTGTTTATATACACTACACACACACACACGCACACCCTTCCTCCACCCGCCTGCGCGCTTACATTATATATTACGTACTGTTTATATATACCACACACACACACACANGCACACCCTTCCTCCACCCGCCTGCGCACTTACATTATATATTACGTACTGTTTATATATACCACACACACACACACACACGCTACTCTCCACCTGCCTGCGCCCTTACACTATATATTACGTACTGTTTATATATACTACACACACACACACAACTCTTCATCCGCCTGCGCGCTTACACTATATATTATGTACTGTTTATATATACTACACACACACACACACACACACACTCACTACTCTCCATCCGCCTACAGGCTTATACTTTATATATTACGTACTGTTTATATATACTACACACACAGACACACACACACCAGGTGTTTGCTATGGGCCGAGCTTGGCGTGCTGCACTGCTCAGTCACTCCTCATTACAACCCTGTGTAGTAGATATTCCTAACATCTCCATTTTACAGATGGGAAAACTTCCCCAATAGTGGCAAACTAGGATTTGAACCGGGTCTTTGCAAGGGCACAGCTTTGCTAAGCTGCCCTTTCAGGCTCCATTAGGGGCCCTCAGCTGGGCTGGATTGTGTGTCTATACTCTCAGCACCCATTCCCTCTGCCTCCCCCTCTGCTCTGGGCCCCTTCCACCCTTCAGACCTTCAGCTCCAGCCATGCATGTTCTCTGTGTCCTGATAGCACCCTGGGTTCTCAGACCTTTCAATTCTGCACCATTTCCTTAGCTCTCCTCTCCCACCACCCCCGAGTCAGGCGCTGGGAACACAGAAAGACATCAAACCTGTTCCTTGCTCACAGTGTAATGGGGCTCACAGGAATAAACAAGGTAAAATGCTGTGATGGAGGGAGGCACCAGGGGCCGAAAGAGCCAAGCCATGGAAGTTAGGACAGCCTTCCTGAAGGGTAAGGTTTGAAGGATGAGCAGGAGTTTGCCAGATGAAGGACTGGGAAAGGCATGTCAGACAGAAGGTAGAGCCTGAGCAAAGGCCCAGGGGCAGTAGCAGCTTGGGACTCTCCTACGAACTCCCACACCTCGAGCCGCAGTGCTGAACTCCATGTTCACCTCCATGGCTGGCGCTCAGGTCCTAGCCCAGGTGTCTCAAGTTCAGAATTACTGTTGGCTCTACCTGCCTAGCCAACACATGGGCCTCGGCATGAGTTCCCATAAACCGAACCTGTGTGCTTGTTTCCACAGTTTCCTGAGTACGACGATCTCTACTGCAAGTACTGCTTTGTGTATGGCCATGACTGGGCCCCCACGGCGGTAAGCTGGACTTGAGCCTACCTCACAGCCTTCATGACTTGGAGTTTCTGAAGGTTTCAAACACACCCCTTCCCTTCCTAGTTCAGAACCATTTGAAAGATAGACACCAACTTCAGAGGGGACCCAAAATGAGTTTGTTCTGGTCAAGTTGGAGTGGAGAATGCAAACACCATTGGGCTCACTGCTCCATCCCCCAAGGCTGTGCTCGCTTATATGCCCTATCCTAGGAGCTTGCACGTGACAGCAAACAGAAACGTAGGGGCAGTTCAGCGAGGCCCCGGAGTGCCAACCTGAGCTGTAGGCCTCCTGGGCCAGCCCATGCATTGTTTGACCCCCTTAGCCTGTGGGGAGGACTCCGGAGCTCTCCCTTCAAGACTTCCCAGGGCACAGTCTGTCTCCACCAGGAGACGGACTGTGGTGGCCACTTCAGCCTGTACCACATTTTACTGTTTGCAGAGCTCTTATTAATCCTCCTGGCAGTGGAGTGTGTTTCCTCATCTGTAGATCTGAGATGACAATGCTCATTTTCTATGTGCCCACTGACTGAATAACTATTAAGAGTCTTCTGTGTGCTGGGGCTATTGTGAACAAAGCCAGACAGAAATCCCTGTCTTCCTGGAGTGCACATTCTTGTTGAGAAACAGACAGTAAGTAGTGAACATTCTACTATGTTACCTAGTCCTAAGTGCTGAGGAGAAAGTAGTGAGGAAGGGGAGACTGGAATCCAAATACAGTGGTCAGGAAAGGCCTCACTGAGAAGGTAACTTTCGAGTAAAGATCTGAAGGAAGTGAGGGGACAATCCATGTCGACATTTGTGGCAAGAACATGCCAGGTAAGAAGGTGCAGAGTGTGAGGGCTCTGAGGCAGGAGTGTGCCTGGCATGTTCGGGAACAGTGAGGAGGCCAGGGTGGCGGTGGACAGAGTGAGCAAGGGGCATGGTTGGGATGAAGCAGGGAGGCCCAGGGAGATCTTAGAGGCTGTGGTAGGTCAGAATAGGGACCATGACCTTCACACGGGGTGGGACTCCCTCAGAGAGTTTTGAACAGAGAGAAAAGGTCATCTGACATGTTTTTAAAAGATCCTTTGGCTTCTTTGTTCAGAGTAGACTGGGGGGAGAAGGGCCAAAGCAGGGAGACCATCACCTATAAGTAGGTGGGGAAGATGGCAGTGTGGGCAAGGAGAAGCAGCAGAGAGGGCGAGAGGCGGTTGAATTTCAAGCGTATTTTGAAGATGGGACCAACATGTTTTCCTTCGGACAGATGTGGGGCATGAGAGAAAGCAGTTAAGAATAACACCAAGATTTTTATTTTATTTAATTAATTAATTAATTAATTTTTAAAATATATCTTTATTGATTTCAGAGAGAGGAAAGGAGAGGGAGAGAGAGAGATAGAAACATCAATGATGAGAGAGTCATTGATTGGCTG